CACAATCCGAGGCCTGAAAATTACTCCCTTTATTCCAAAATAAATGACCCAACTTTGTACTAAAGTTAATACAAAGTTGAGTCATCTATTTTGGAACGGACGGAGTACTCCTTTTCGACACCTCAACATGTAAGACCGGCCTTAGGCCCAAAAATTACTCATTCTCGACATCTCCACGTGTAAACCCAATCCAGACACAATCCGAGGCCTGAAAATTACTCTTTTTCGACACCACCACGTGTAAGCCCGACTATCGAGGCCTGAAAATTACTTATTTTCGACACCACCATGTGTAAGCTCGACCCAAACACAACTCGAGGCCTGAAAATTACTCCTTTTCGACACCACCACGTGTAAGGCCACCCCGGGGCCTAAAAATTACTCATTTTCGACACCTCCACGCGTACGACCAGCCCGATGCCTAAAAATTACTCCTTTTTGACACGTCTATGTGTAAGCCCGACCCAAACACAACCCGAGGCCTAAAAATTACTCGTTTTCGACACCACCACATGTAAGCCTGACCCAAACACAACCTGACTTGGTTTCTAAGTCATATACTTACCGGACAAGAAATAATTAACTTTTCTGCCCAGACATCAAAAAATAAAACGACAAAAGGATGCTACGCCCTGCAAGACAACAAACCTGACTTCGGCGAACCATTCACACGCATGTCACGTGCGCGCGCCACCCCGACCATAGCCAGGCCAGGCGAGCGAGCACGCACATGAGATCTTCTATTCTCTCCTTCACACATCATTAAGTGTGGTGTAGAGAACCCGCTATATAAGGAGGTCCAACTCTTCCTGAACGTCTCGGATGCCACTAAAGTTAGAGCCACCATTTGCTATTTTATTTATGGGCCATTACTTGAGATTTCAGAAATTGCTATGGGCCTAGCCCATTTATTTCTAACAATCCCCACCGGATCTTAAATACCCATTTAGAGATTTGCCTTTTTCTCGCCACTCGTTTAATATACTAATGTTTCAGCCGATACTGTTAAGTTAAACTTCTACCTAGAACTTTAAGCTACATCCATCCAGAACCTGACAATAGACTATGCCTTGAATTGCTTTTTTTGTGTGAACATGTCTCACTCAAAGTCTTAACTAGTACTTGGCTGCCAGTAGGCCATCCCGCGGTTTGGAGCATATATATGGTACTTCCTAGTCTCTTTGTGTGCTTACTAGAGATCATCCAAGTCTCATAGAGTGCAACGTTCATAGCCAAAGCTCTATATAGGTCGTTCTTTTAAGACTGCTATGTAGGACAACATCTTTGCTAATCATAGTCAATAGAATTACATTAAGGCATGTTGCCAACCTACCTTACAGCTCTGAGAGTTTTGCATCTTCACCTAGAGACAGTCACATATTACTCTCCTCAGTTAACCAATAGCTTGTTCTTCCCAGGTCCTAATTCACGGGATCTCCAATCACAAATATTGGGTTACTAGTATCGTGTAACATATATGGGTCTCATACCCATCTCCCTCGATGCAATATCTATCACATTTCGTGATAGTCCCTTTGCAAAGGGATTTGACAGCTTTTTGTTTGTTTGAATATGCGTAATAGTTATTATTCCAGAGTTTCTCAACTTCTTGACAGACTTCAAACGTCTCTTCACGTGTCTTGATGACTTTGCATTGTTATTAGAATTGTTCACTTTAATGATAACCATTTGGTTGTCACAATTTTTAAGAATAGCATGTATAGTTTTTTCAACCACGACAAACTTGATCAAGAGCTCACGCAGCCATTCTGCCTCAACAGTGGTTCTGTTTAAAGTTGTTAGTTCTATTTCCATAGTTGACCTCGTCAATATGGTCTGTTTGTAAGATCTCCATGACGCCGCGCCGCCTTCATGAGTAAATACATATCACTTGTGGCGTAGAGTACATCAACATCGGAGATCCAGTTCGAATCACTATATCCTTCTAGCACAGCAGGATGCCCTGAATAGTGAATTCCTTAACTCATAGTACTTCTCAGATAGCGCAAGACCCTTTCTAGTGCATGCCAATGATCATCTTAGACATGAACCTACTAAGTTTTCTCATAGCAAAAGAAATATATGGCCTTGTTGCACTAGCTAAATACATGAGTGAACCAACAATTTTAGAGTATTTTAATTGATCTCTGGTGGGCACCGGGACTTGAACCATGATGGGATGGGGATACCACTGTCCCTCTAACCATCCAACCACAAGTTAGTTCGCAACACCTGTAACTTTATTGATACTTATAAAAATTAAAGGTACACTGATTTGGATCTAAGATCCAAGAAAATATACTGTAACTCCTATCACTAAGAATTAAAATGAAATAACTTGTAAACATCTTCTTCGCGGTATCAATCTCTGCTCAAAGAAATACTCCAAAGACTTCGGTGAAGAGACTGCAATTAGACTGGAGCAACGTTGTTGTCACTCTTTCATCCGCGCGAACATTATCAATAATGAGTTTTGAAAGTGTCTTGAGTCTCCCATTTAAAAAAATGGGAAGCCTTGATCGATGAACGTTCTTGGGCCGGGGATGATCCTTTAGAAGTGTTGGTCATCGAATCACTATATCTTCACCATAGTGTCGATGAAAGATTTCACCTCCACAAAGAATCAAACCAACAAAAAAGGTTTGACACAGAACATAAACTCATCATATCTGGATAACTGAATCTGCAAGGACAACCATGGTGTTTACCTTGAGTATACGCTCCCATGATTGCCACGTAGATTTGTAATGTATACCTATCAACTTTACTTTGTGTTACCATTTCATTACTCAACCTTTTATGCTCTAACTATGGAGATTTGTTTTCCCTATATTGGTTTATGACATATCTCGCCCTTTTCAATGGTGTGATGAGTGATGACTGCCTTAGTGAAAAAATGATGTATGAAGGTTTTCTTTGTACTGGCATGCAAATAAACGAGTTACTGATGCTTCTTTAAACCATCATACAAATAATAGTAAAATCATACCATGGGCAATGTACCCATGCTAAAAAGGGTTATTTTTTATTTTTATTTTTTGTTACATTTATGTAGCAAATGTTCAAGCGGTAACACTGTTTCTTGGTAATGGTCATATATTTGCCTTTGATTCACATTCTTATTTGCTAACTTATATTATGAGATCCTTGGTGATTGCGGTCAATTTGTGACTCAAACACTTAACTGCACCAATGCCTTACTACTCTCCTGTATTTTAGTGTTTCAATATATAGTTTGTTTGTATTACAATAGTCATATTTTGCCTACAAATTCTAGATGTAATAAAAAGAGCGCAAAGAATGATATTTTCTTTGTCAGCATATATAGGTCTTAAGTAGAAAAGCTGGACATTCTACATATTTTTGTTTTGCTTTGGATTTCAATTAACTTGGAACTGAGGGAGAAGTTATGTTTTTTGTTATTTGAGCCTAGCAAGTAATTCTCTACTTAGTCAAGGGGGGTCTTGCACCTTGTTAATATGCCTTCAAATATGTTATGGTATTTTTCTACTTAATTAGTTTGACGTTTCTGGTAGGCAAATATATTCCTACGGGCGTTTCCAATTCGAATTGGAGGAAAGGGTCAACTTACCTTATGATAAGGTATCATAACTATTCACTTGGCGAGAATATGGAAGGGTATATAGCAAGGCAAGTCTTGTTTGACAAGAATAATGAAAAACCAAGCGCAAAAGAAGATAAATGACGAATGAAGATACCATTTTTCGCTTGAGGGTGGGGATGTAAAGAATATGTGGTACCGTTAAACAAAAATCATCTTGGTCACCATATAGAAAAATGATAGAAAAATGGAATAAACGTGTTGGTTGGACATGACACATTCATGGAACATATAATAATCCATCTAATTAGTCTCTCAATCTTTATTTTGCTATATTCCCTTCCATTCCCGATCTCCTTCCCACTGTCAGCCCAATATTCCTTTCCAAACCCGCCTCCACCTGATTTGGATCTTGAGGGATTGCCTCCTGTCCAGAGAGGAGGGAGAGCAGAGCAGTGTCATGCCCTTAATAAGAGCATCGATAGCAAGATGTGTGATGTGTGTGTCCGTTTTGAGCCTCTATTTTGTGCATGCATGCAACCATGCTCCTCATTTTCTTTCTTATATATCTGGTCACCTGCATGTAATTGGTGGATATGAAGAGAGAGAGAAAGAAAAAGGTGGTTCAGAGTAAGCCGCATTCTACACAACGGGCTAATCGGACGTGTTCGTGGGCCCTCATATCCTTCCCATATTTGGTGTCAATATGATGGTCCATGAACAGTGTAGACGTTTAGGGATGATATGAGGGGTCCAGTTGGGTCTCCTTTTTTCCTTCTCTCTCCTGTCCAGTCAGTGATCGGTCGCGCCCGCGGACATTTGAGGAGGATTTGAGGGGACCGGATATAGATGCTCTAACATTATTGTGTTTGATAGTATGATGTGTGTTAGCTGATTGTCAAAAAAATGTATTAGCTGAGACAACATTATTATTAGTTATATTAGTTTGACGAGTACCATCTATTTTTTTTTCAAAAATCCGTCGCAACGACACGGTCGTTCTACTAGTCTAGTGTAGTAAAGAACAAGGACACATGCAAACATTCTCACCATACAAGACTTTGAAAACCGAAATAGCCACTTGCCACCAACAAAACACACACAACCTAATATTAATTCCTCTATTTGCTGCCTAGGCATGGCTGCGATTCTTCCTACCGCCTTTTCCCTTTCGCCTTCTTCTTCTTGCAGCTTCCCCTCCACTGGGAGATGAGAGTGTTAGTCAAGGATTCACCAACAAAATAAAAAAAACACAAGCAACACCCATATATCAATCAACCATGATAAGAAAAAAAAAGGAAAGAAAGACATATGTATAATCATGGGTAGCTATACCTGTCAGTACCAAGACGTGAAACGAAGAACGCCGGCCAGTCCATCTCTAAGAGCACGGCATCGAGAGGGCTGTTGGGGCGTGCGTAAGGCCCGTCAGCCACCTCCTTCATTGCTCCGGTCTCGAGGTCGGCGGTGTACACGCGCCCACGCCCATCCATGACAAGCAATTTGCCACACTTCTCTCCCAGTATGGAAAGTGTGTCTTTTACTTGGGTCGTCTTCTTCCATGGTTGTATCAGCTCGATCGTCTGAGGATGGAGCCATCGTGAGGAATCATAGAAACTCTCTTGGCCCTCTTGTCTCCATATCTGTAGCTGGGAACCTGTCTCTTGCATCTGTAGCACCGAGAGCGTGCCGTCGCTGTTCAGGCGAAGGCACGGGCGGTGATCTCGGTCAGGCAACATCTCAGCCGGGAGCCACATGAATGTGAGATAGTCGTGCTGGCCAATCATCAGTTTAACAATTCGGAAACACTGTTCTTTGTCATCACGAAATAGCCAGTACGCGACGCCGTGGCAGACGACGGCGTCGGTATGACAGAATGACCCGAGGGTATTGCCCCACATACTTTGATGGGAGCGCGTTGTACTCCAGCTCGGTTTCACAGTCGACAAGGTGTGGATATCAAACATAGTCCACTGTCCCTCATGACCGGCTGTGATGATTAACGCTTTGTGGAAGGGTGAGTTGCCCGGTGGCTGTTCGGGGCCGCCGCCGCCGGAGCGACAGTCGTCACCGGATAGAACGGCACAACAGTAGCATCCATAGTCACGGTACCCGACAGAGGTGGTGCGCATTAGAGGAGGGAGTTCGTGGCACGTGCCGAGGAGCAGGTTGCACACGGCCAGACGGAGGACCGTCTGGTCCAGGTCTGCCTCGTGGGGCGGGATGAGGCGCACGAGGAGCAGGCCGCGGCGCGAGGCCAGCGGCACCGCGCGGTCCGGCACGGTTGGCACGAAGGAGCGGAGGCTGCGGCAACGGCGGCCCAGCGGCGACCGTGGCGTCGGGACGAGCACCTTGGCCTCTTGATCACGGGCCCGGTTCTTGATAAAGAAGCCGGCGAGGGAGGGGCACGCGTCCTCCGGCCACCGGCGGCGGAGCAAGGTGCGATCGGCCACAAGGATCGCACCACTGCCTGCAAGCAGCGGCACATCGGAAGAGCGCGGTCGCGTCATCCACGCGGAGAAGGATGTCGAGGAGGAGGTCGTGCGGGAGCGAGGCCACCATGGCCGCCGCCGCCGTGTCTTTCGTTTGGACGATCTGATCTGAGGAGGAACCTCGAGTCGTCAGCGTAGGGTTTGGGACTTTGGGTCTCGAAACATACTGTATATGCTTGGAACTGGAAGTCGTCGTGATGTCCGTAATCCTAGATCAAAGGTCTCAGGGGATACCGGCCGTATCGGTATCGCATACTTTACGGCAACCAACGCTGGCGGGACATACATCATCAAACAGCAAACAACAAACGAGTTAGCCGAAAAAGGGATTCCCCCACTTTGTATTCCAAAGTAACCGACCGCAGCAGCACAGTCACGCCTTAGGTGGACGCGGTCCGGTCCGGTCCGGGCTTTGACCGAGCCAGTCTTTGGACCGGCCACGGCCGGTCCGGTCCGGACCGGACCGAGGTGGCCAGCAAGCCAATTTTCCAGGACCGGACCAAGAGGAGCAAAGCTCGGTCCGGTCCGGACCAGACTGAGGTGGCCAGCAAGCGTCAGCCTGACTGGACCGAACGGGACCGATGGCTAGGACTCTGTTTAACAGCCTGGGAATGCTTTGTTGGCCACTGTTTAGGCTGTTTTGACGTATTTAGACTGTAGCTGTCCCTGGGAGTGCTCTATTAAGCGTTTTGGCCATTATTTAGCAGTGCCCTGTTGCGCTTTCTTGCCACAATTTAGACTGTCCAAATTTAGTGAGTGCTCTGTTTCTGTATAATGACTAGTATGTCATAACTAAATTTGGACAGGATTTTATTTGTATTTTGGACATCAAAACAAATGATTTTGAGAGGAACAATATCACAAAAATCACATGCACAAACATTGATCAGTACAGTTTTTAGATAAGTTTCTTCACATAATTTTGGACCGAAACAGCAGGAATATCACATCCACAAACAACTAATTGGACAGCAAGCACATGACTAAATTTGGACAGCAAGAATAACTAAATTTGGACAGCATTTCCTTTGTTTTTTGGACATCCACAAACTGATTTTGACACGAAAGATGGCACAAATCAGGTTAAGCACAATATCACATCCACAAACATAAGGTCTTATCATCATTGAATGACACAATTACAAACTTGCTCTAACAATTCCAAGTCCATGGCAATTGACAAGTTGAACATAACACAAATGAGAGGTTCATCTCCAAGCTAGTAGTGACAATTCATAGTTCATGACTTGAAAGGTTTCAACATAACAGAAATGCAAAAGTAGCCTTCACATGAGAAAGATCATTTTGACATTCATCTCCAAAATAGCAAGATCAACATCCACATGATGAATGTCTACAAGTAAGATAAGCAACATTCACATAAATAATATTTGGTATTGTATGACAAGTGAAACATGTAGGAAGAATAGTTATCAATCGTTGATCTCCTCCACCACAGTGGGTAACTTGATGTTCTCAACATCATCCTCTTCATTCTCATCCCTCGGCTACAAGTGTGGAAGTTAGACAAATGCTCACATCACATACAACAAGACCAAAAAAGAAATAAAGAAAAGGTAAGGAAAAGATGGCAAACATACCAGCACCCTTTCGCATTATCCTTACCAGCACCCTTTCCCTTCTCATTCCCCTTCTCCTTCACCATTATCTACAAAAAACAGCACATAACTCAGATTATCAGGTTACAAAAAATAGCAAATAACTCAGACCATGGTACACATGTCACCAACAACTAAACCATTCGAGAAGTGGACAACATGCAGCCTTTACTGTACTAACAGTAACAGATCACAAATAAGCTGTGGACAGGATCATGTAGACATCGTTACGATCTGTACAGAACTCATCTACTCGCCATCACAGGGAACGAGTATGAACAAAATACGCACAAAATCAGGTTGCATCATACAAAAATGAACAGGAACAGGCTTTTGTAGCATAGAAAATCATCTACTAGTAGTGCAAATGAACATAATTATCTCCTGAATCCTGACCATTATCTAAAAAAAAACAGCAGCACCAGGGGATCACTAGCGGCATTCTCGAACCTGCGGCTGCTGGTGTCTAAGAATTTAGCTGAAAAATATATCTCGTCACTGTGTCGTGCTTGCATTTTTTTTGCTAGAGTTCGAGAGGGTGACTATTTTTGACACGTCCCTTTAATTAGCTCGAACTGGGTGCAAGAGCAGTCATTCCTTTATCAAAGCAAACCTCAGCAACCTTCTCCTAATCTGGGATGGAGAGGATAATGTGCTGGAAGCAGACATAATCACCCTTTGAGTGGTCACACCAGCATCCGCAGGTTCGAGAATGCCGCTAGTGATCCCCTTTGAGTGCAAATGAACACCAGCAACACATAATTCCCCTCTCATTCCCCTTCTCCTTCACCAATCACCATTATCTCCGGACCAAACACTACATCTCCAGATATCCTATCTAAGTTTCTCTAAATCATCTCAGTTTGGCGAGGGCCGAGGGTTACAGGTTAGGGACACATACCTTTTCCTCTTCGTGGCGCTTGGTGAGGAACCAGGTAAGGACGGACCGACGGCGTGCTGGCCTTGCTGCCTCCCCGACGTAGATGTGCTCCTCCAGCTCGGACTCGGAAGAGATGGCGCCGTCGGTGAAGGGAGAGCCGCGGGCAACGGCACCATCGCCTTGGGTTAGGGTTAGGGATAGAGCAGAGGAGGAGGCGCCTCTATTTGTGAGGAGGGGGGGAATCGAGCGAGGGAGGGGATGGAACGAGGGGAAGGGGTGCTCGGCAGGGCCTCGATCGATCTGTTACATTAGATGGGCTGGGCCTTGCGCCATCGGTCCGCTCAGTCGGCCCGGTTAGAAACCGGACCGGACCGAACTTTTTTTGGTCTGCTTTTCTGGGCTCCGACCGGCACACTTTTCTATCGGGCCTGGACCGTACGGGCCGGTCCTAAACGGGCCACGAGCGGGCCGGAAAGCCCGCTCGTGCCGTCCAGGCTGAGTCACGCCCAAAAGAAGCGAAAGAGAAAACACAAAAGAAATGAATGACAACAGAGTCGGATCATCAAAAACAACGATGATCCGCAACCGATGGGCCCTCCAAAGACATCAACCACACTCGTAGCGCAGCGGACCCACGCATACCAAGCAACACCTTAAGAAGGAATGTGACGCTGCTGCCCGGACAGGTCCTAGGGTTTATCCTGGTACGCGAGGGGGATCCCCGACGCCCTTTAGGAAGGAACGACGGCGCCCACGGGCGTCGCTGCGTCGGTGCCGGCCAAGCCAACATGGATTTCTTCTGTCCACCACACATCCACGACCCCGACCCAGGGCCGTCTCCAGAAATTCGGGCCCCGGTGGGAAATGCAAAATGAAGTCCTAAAATTTTAAAAATTCTTGTAACTAAAATATTTATATACAACTAAAGAACACTCTCGTTTAAGCCATTACCTTTAAATATGCGGTATTTTGTACAACATTATGGTATCAAATACACCAACTATCTTCTATAAAGAATACATCGATGAAGCAATAAACATAGAACGGTTTATTAAGTAACTTATTACTTAAGAACTGATGCACATATACAGTATACCCATTAATCATTAAATTATTGAACATGAAAAATGTCCTAAATAATACTTCTTGGTCTTGTGGCCACCTGATGGACATGGACTGGTCGGTGATTCATCAAATAAATCTCCAAATCAATCTGGCCTAAGCCCGAACGCTTGACCGCCGGCTAGCAGCGGCTGCCTTGTGCTTTTCCTGGCTATGTTGGACCTTGCTGGGGCTCGTTTCTGCTCGAATTTGTTAGGCGAATTCAGGAAGGCTGGAAAGAATAGTTGGGCAGAAGGCTGACCGAGAGGGGGGTGGGGAGAGGCTCGGGGCGTACGATCCATCGATTGAGAGGAAGCGCTTGGGCGGTCAGACCATGCCGCAGGCCCAAAACAGAGCAAAGAAATGAAATAGCCTGATAAAAAATATACAACGTTGGCCCAAAATTGAGGGTCCTTGGGATTTGGGGGCCCGGTGCGGTCGCACTGCTCGCACAGCCCCCTGGACGGGCCTGCCCCGACCGATCCATCACGCTCCACCAAACTCGTCGCCCGTTCAACATGCGCCAACACGGTCTTGGAGCCACCTCCGCCATCTCTCCATGGGGATCGAAGCGGGACCGATGGATTGAGAGGAAGCAACCGGGAACAAGGAGCGGCAGAGTCCGCCGTTACGCGGGAGGAAATCACCTCCACCGCCATCGGCACCCGCAAGCAAACGAGGTCTCGTTAACCCGATGCAATTTTTTTAAAAAAATAGGTTAACACAAACAAACCTGTGATTTCTTAGATGATTTAGAAGAACAATGGTATTCCAGTCAGCAGAACAGTGGCGTGACTTAGCTACACACGTGACTACGTCAGGTACGTACAAAGTTCACTCCTTCCACGTTATATATCTGCATGTGTCATCTACACCGTCCTAACTATTCCCTCCGTTCCTAAATATTTGTTTTTCTAAAGATTTCAACAAATGACTACATACGAAGCAAAATGAGTGAATCTACATTCTAAAATATGTCTACATACATCCGAATGTGGTAGTTCATTTGAAATGTCTAGAAAGACAAATATTTAGGAACAGAGGGAGTACATGCATGCATGCATCAACCTACCTAGTTAGCTATATATCTACATGCATCATCTACTACTCCCTTCCCTTGTCCTCCTTCCCGTGGGTGACAGGGAACCCTAGCGGCCGCCGCTGCAAGTAGCTTCCCATTCCCGTCCATCCTCCCTCGCCGCAGCTAGAGGGCGAAGCCCACCAAGTGGCGGGGCATCTCGTCTCCTCACGTGGGGGTGGGGGTGCCAGTGCAGGACAACGCCGTTAGGCCGTGGCGCCGCAATGGCAAGGGTCATGGAGGCCCTTCTCAGCGGTGGTGGCACACAGGGTCTTCAGCGGTGTGGGAAGTTTCCAGGTGGCTGTCGCGAGTTGCGTGGTGGCCACAGAGGAATCAGAGGCAGGAGAATTCGATCTCGTGCCGCCATAGATGCACACAATATGGACTAGAGTGCAAACATATTAATTGTAACACAAGAAAGAAGCTGATCCCTTGCTCAAATAAACCTGCCGTCACGTGTACTGTGTCGTTGCCACGAGTAAGGATCAAGGTCCACTTTTACCACCATTAGCCCCGTTGACCCCTCGGCCAGCCCCTTTGGTGAGAGGACATGCCACACATGCCAATGTTAGCCATACATCATACTCATACTCATGCTCAGCAAGGCCACGGCAGCTTCGACATGTAATCAAGGAGATTGATCGAGCTGGCCTTTACGATGAAGAGTATTTTTGTTCTTTGAGGCCACTATCAGCTATATTGCATCATTAAATGTGAAAATTGTGATGTCAAGAAGTATTTATGTCCAGGGATACTGTTGCGTAAGAATGCTGACTGTGGATTTTTTTTCATATCTTGCACGTGCAACGGCATGAAAGAATTCACATTATTGCCAGTTAAAATGTGTGTATTGTTTGTTTGAAGGTAATTTTGGTGACTTTCTTTTATTTCTGAGTAAACCATGTTTTTTGGGCTGCTTTCTTTTCGAATACGAACGAGTGTGCGTATCATATATTATAGAAGAGAGTAGGAGGGGGGGGGGGAGGGTTAAGAGCCCCAAAATAAGTTTTACAATGGAGGTCATGCCAACTCCACAGTATGCGAACTACTTGTTGCTCACCCAGGTTGATGCCTCGGCCAGGATACCTCGTCCAGGAGTAGGAGGTGGTCGATCGACTCCTCTTGTTGATCACACATGGGGCACCTATCCTGGTGCGGCAACCCTCTTCGTGCCAACCTATCCGATGTCCAACACCTGTTCTTTGGTTAATTAACTCACTCATTCAAGTCTAGGGTTCCCCTGCCTCCCACCGGCGCCGCCAACGGTCTGCCTCGTCTCCGGTGGCCATAGGACCATGGAGACGCGGTGGATCTTGGCCCTTGCCGGCGGGAGGGCTCTGTTTTCAGTGTTTTGTTAGGGTTTGTGTCCTGCTCGGGAAGACGAGATGGCAGCGGCTCCTTGAAGATGGAATAAAATTCTCTCCCCGCCTAGCCCTTGTTTCGATGTTGTGTCTAGCATCATCAATGGGCAGGTGGAGGGTGCCTCCGGAGGATCTGTTTTTGGTGGATTTTCTCGGATATGATTGTAGTTCGTCTACGTTCATGTGTATTCAGGTTGGATCCTATGGGGCTTTAGCACGACGAATCTCCAAATGTCTACTACAACAAGTTTTCCCCGGCTTCGGCGAGGGAGGAGCAATGACGGTGGCGCTCGGCTCGCTTTAATGCTTGTAGTCATGCTAGGTGGTCTACGAAACTGGATGCACTTTTTATTATTTCTGGTGTTCATTCAACTGTCATGATTGAAGATAAGTATATCTGAAGTTTTTTGGCAAAAAAAAACTCAGTAATTATCATGTTTTTCTGCAATTTCCATCGAAAAGCACAATTGCTCAATAAAAGCACCACCATCAATCACAGATGACAATGAAGCCACATCTAATATTCACTGGAGCTAAACAAGGCAGCCGCCCATGTGACAACAGAGCAACACGGAATGGAAAGAGTGACAAAGCCAAATCAAGGGTTGAGGAGGAGCGTGTAGTGGT